CTTCCCTGGAATTAGTTGGTTCCTTGTCTCCTCATATGGGGAATCTTACCTTCCTTAGAGCGATCCATCTCGAGAACAACGGTTTCCGTGGCACAATCCCCCAAGAAATTGGTCGATTGTTTCGGCTACAACATCTTTCGCTTTACCAAAACTCTTTCCAAGGTGAGTTTCCTACCAACTTGACTCATTGCTCCGACATCAGTGTCATCAACATGTCTGAAAACAAACTTGTAGGAAAAATTCCTATTCAGATAGGGTCATTGTCTAATCTCTTGGAATTGAGTCTTTCCAAAAATCTTTTCATTGGCAATCTCCCATCTTCTTTGGGAAATCTTTCTGCTCTTCACACACTTGATCTAGGTGCTAACAATCTAGAGGGAAGCATTCCTTTTGAACTTGGAAAGCTTTCCAACTTACAGTTTCTTCAGTTGGGCTCCAACAATTTGTCTGGAATGGTTCCTACCCCACTTTACAATATCTCATCCATCTCTGTCTTTGTTCTAGTTCTCAACCAGTTAAGCGGAAGCCTCCCCCAAGAACTGGGATTGACCCTTCCAAAACTACAATATTTCTTAGTTGGCGGTAACCAATTCTCTGGGCCTATCCCACCATCATTGGTTAATGCTTCAACACTCATTGATTTTGAGATAGGTGATAATTTTTTCAGTGGGTCTGTACCATTGAATTTGGGAAGCCTTAACGATCTAGATTGGCTAAATATTCAACATAACCAACTCGGAACTAAAAAACCGAACGACTTGAGCTTCCTTGATTCATTAATCAACTGCACAAATCTAAGAGTTTTACTAATAGGTGCGAATTATTTTGGGGGAGTATTTTCGAATTCAATTGCAAATCTATCCACCAAGCTCACCCAACTGTGGATGGATCACAACTACGTATCTGGAAGCATACCACAAGGGATTGGGAACCTCAAAAACTTACAGTTTTTAACCTTAGATACGAATATGCTCACTGGCAGTATTCCTGAATCTATTGGCAAAATTTCTGAGTTGGAACAACTCTTCATTTCTGTAAATAACATCTCAGGAAAAATTCCATCATCTATTGGAAACTTGTCTCGATTGGGTAACCTTGCATTAGGAGAAAATATGCTAGAGGGAAGCATACCTGCATATTTGGGTAATTGCACAAGGCTAGAAGAATTGGATCTTCAACAGAATTGCCTCACTGGTGCGATACCCGAGCAAGTTATTGGACTTCCTTCCCTCACTATTGCTCTCTCCTTAAATCAAAATTATCTAAGTGGAGCACTACCATCACAGGTGGGTAACTTGAAGAATCTTGGGCAATTGTATATTTCTGAAAACAAACTTTCCGGAGAAATCCCAAACACTCTTGGTGATTGCCTAGTGTTAGAAGTCCTGCATATGGAGGGTAACCTTTTCGAAGGTACTATTCCATCATCCTTGCAGCAATTAAAAGGACTGCAAGACCTAAATCTTTCTCGTAATAGTTTGTCGGGACAGATTCCAAGCTTTCTAGGCGAGTTCCAATTGATTGAAAAGCTAGACCTTTCTTATAATAAGTTTGAGGGTGAAGTTCCAAATGAAGGAGTGTTCATGAATGTTACTGCATTTTCAATTGTGGGAAATGACAAACTTTGTGGAGGAACCAATGCATTACACTTACCTTCATGTGATCCCACAGAGAGAGAGAGAAAGCACTTCGCCCATAAAGTGATAATTCTTGTGACAAGTATAACTATTTCTACAATTTTGTTGATAGCAAGTGTTTCTGCTGTTCTTTATCAGATCAAAAGGTCAAAAGAAAAGTCTTCTGTAGATTGTCTATCGGGAAATCAGTGCCCAACACTCTCTTATGCAGAACTTCAACAAGCTACCAACAGATTCTCTTTGGCTAACTTGATAGGTGCAGGGAGTTACGGTTCTGTTTATAAAGCAATCCTCAACTCTGGTGAACAAATTGTCGCTGTGAAGGTTTTCAACCATCAACTGCTTGGTTTTGAGAAGAGCTTCTTGGCTGAATGTGAAGTTTTGAGGAACATTCGCCACCGCAATCTGGTTAAGATCATCACATCTTGTTCAAGCATAGATTTTAAAGGAAATGATTTCAAGGCTTTGGTCTTTGAGTTCATGCCTAATGGGAGTTTAGAGAGCTGGTTACACCCAATTTCATCTGACCAACTGGATCAAAGTTCATCCATACGGCTGAATTCAAAGAATTTGAACCTAATCCAAAGGCTGAACATTGCAATTGATGTGGCCTCTGCATTGGATTATCTTCACCATCAGTGTGAAACGGCAATCATTCATTGTGATCTAAAGCCAAGTAACGTTCTTCTTGACAGTGATCTTTGTGCGCATGTAGGTGATTTTGGTCTTGCAAGGTTTCTTGTAGCCACCAATGGTAAATCTAATTATACACAAAGTAGCTCATCAATTGGAGTTAGAGGAACAATTGGTTACATTGCACCAGGTAATTTACAATTATATGTCTATTCTTTAACTTTTATTATTTCTTTTCGTATATGCTCTCCCATGTATTTATTTAGTTTCGAACCTCCTTGACACTGCAGGATGAGTAGATGAAATTACGTAAATTATTTTGAACGTCAGCCTGGTGAATTGCCATATGACTCCGTTTTCTATAACTAAGTTGAGCATATTAAATTGTAGTATTTCATTTTTATGTAGTATTGTAGTATCAAAATATAAATCATGAAAGTAATTTAGAAATTAGAAATTATTGAAGTACTTCAACAATTTAAGCACCATCATTCGTTTCAAATTGCAGAATATAGTATGGGTGGGGTGGTTTCAGTGGAAGGTGATGTGTATAGTTATGGAATTCTTTTACTGGAGATGTTTACTGGAAAAAGGCCAACTAGTAGTATGTTTACAGACAATTTCAGCCTGCATAACTATGCTAAGATGGCGCTTCCAGATGGAGTGATGGGGATTGTCAATTCTCTACTCATATTGGATGAGGACGATGAATCTGAAAGGGCCAACCAATGCAACATTGCCAGAACAAAAGATTGCTTGGTATCGGTGCTTAGAATTGGAGTCATTTGCTCTTCTGACATACCAAGAGAAAGGCTGGATATTACAGATGTTCTAAATGAACTCCACAAGATTATAAATGTATTTCTTATGTATGGATGAGAGGAGAGAAAGAGTGAGAAAGAGATGGAAGAAGTAATTCCTAGTTAGAAAATGATAGCTGGTTCATAAGGTAATGTTCAGAATAATGAGGTATATGTGAAAGATATAGTTACACTATATGTACTTTTATCATTATTTTCTTGTAGCTATGTTTATATATCTTCAACATCGTGAAATTACTAAGAAGCTACTGCTTGTAGAAAGGAGATAAATTGAATACTTCACCATTGAGTATTAAATCATATCAACATATATGAAATCATCATTGACACAGTTCAGAGGATTCTGACTATGAGGTGCTGCCTAAATTAGCTGTCTTAACGTTATGTCAAGTTTTTTCAAGAATTCGATCTATATTTTTTTCCTGGCAAACAAAAACATATTTCTAGATGTATGAACAGAAGGAGTAATATTTCAACGATACTCTACAGACATTACTAGGCAGCCTTCTTAAAGCATTCACATTCACTCTCTACTTCAAAGCAGTTTGAGCAGTAAAGTGGGCAACTTTGTTTGGCTCCCGTCACAGACTGTACTTAAAAATTATGCTGCATCTTCATAAGATTGACAATATATTGGACGATCTTATCAATGGTGGTAGATAAGCTTATTGACACTCCCTTAACAGTCATTCATCAGCACATAAGAAGAATAGATCTCTACTCCGCCCTACTGTCCCATTTTGTTTACCCATTGAACAACCCACCTTAGCGTTGAAGCCTCTGCTGAGTAAGGATCATTTACATGCTGAAACCATTTAACTGCAGCAATTCAATCCTTGAATACTAATCCACAACCATCATAAAGGTATCACTGTTATATGCAACATCTACAATTTTTTTTTTTGGTTGTTGTTCCATTGTTGCATTAGATATTCATCTACCTGAGAATTGGAACTTGGCTCCTTATGAGTCACTTAGTATATATGTGTTAACATATCCCACCTCACCTCCTGATACTTAATAGAATTGCTCAATTGCTTTATCTCTTATCCTTTTAATTCCACAACTTTTCTCTGCAAACACCCTTCTATTCCTAGCTTTCTACATATAAGGATCCCAGTCAACCGCAATAGTTATGTCCTGATTCTTCATTTTCCCAGCTATGTGTCTCCTAATTAGTATGACCTGATATAAATTGATGCCCAAGTGGCTTTGGGTCCCTAAATCTTTAAGTCTATTAAGTCCTAGGTCCCGGTTTCGAGACAGGTAGAGAGAAAAAAAAAAAAAGAATAAAAATATGTATATAACATTCACTCTTTTGATATTATTTGAATTTATTATTGTCACTTCTTGACATTAAAAAATAATATATGATCTTTAAGAGCAGAGGAATTTTAAGAACAATAAAAGGCAATTTAAATCAAATCTTGGTGGTGGGACCCACGTGATGCATGATCCAACGGCTGAAAGGCCCCGAAGGTACGGTACCCCTAGGGTATTGTAGATTTTTTTCCAGACTTAGAGGGTTTTTAATGTCTTTTTGAGAATATTAATGACAATAATTTTGTGATGATAAATTAAATTCACTAGAAATGAGTCTGATTATTGACGTTGCAATCATTCTTCTTTTCTTTTTAAATCTTCTTATTTCCTCTTCTCAAATGGTATAAGCTCTCCTCCCATCAGTGGAGGTTGAGTGGTTGAGCTTCGGTGAAGGCATAATATACATAGTGGGTGTAAGGACCCGAACCCGGGGGTCAGAATTGTTTACCGGGTCCTTATCCGAACCCGAGGTCATCTAAGGCATTACCGTTCTTTTCTATGTCAATGCATAAAATATATACGTCATCTCAAGACTCATAGTACATCATATCACTAACATCACAGAAAACTTACAAATGCAGGTACAATGGCAGCTGCGTTTAAGTCCATGGATACAAGTCATACGTCCATACTCCTCCGGTTTCCTGAAAATGTTAAGATAAGGGGTGAGCTCAACAGCTCAGTAGGTAATGCATAAAACACTGGTTTTGGACTCCCTTGAGCCAACAACCAAAGAACGGGAATAGAAAAGAAGCCGGAGTCATGCAATTGGAGTCCGTACAATATTTATAACATAACAATCAATACACGTAGTCACATATCACAATTCTTCAAAATCATGCACATGATATGAAGTGTGATGCATCCCATCCCAAACTTGGTTTATACCGACCCAACACTCACTTTTCGAAAACCCGCTAACTGACTTTACTGAGGCGAGATTGATAGCTATTCCCGGTTCCAATTCTGACAAAGCCTGGCAATCATTAAAGGGCCTAGTATCAATTTTTTCACGCCCTACACCAGGCCAAGCTCCCTCTAGGTCAACCTAGCCTCAGACTCGCGAAATCCGGTTTATTTCCTTACAATCATTTCCAAACACATTTCTTTTAAAAAATAAAATAAAATCATTTCAATCTCACTTTTCCCAAATCATGCACATGCCATGAATGGAATCATGCATGAATGAAGGCGATATAAACATGCCTGTACTTTATCAGTTTAGCCATACATACTCATCATCATATATATGTAATCTCAAGAAACAAATTCAACGCAAGGCATATTCATTAAACAACTTTGCAACTAAGCACATATATACATACACAATTAATATCATCTAGAGTATGTTTCGTCGCATAAGCACGTAAGCACATAACTTTTTTTTTTTTATAAGTAATAATAAATTAAAAAATGCATTCAATAGGGGAATGCGTCCCGTAGACAACACGTAAGCACATAACTGACATTCAATTTTACCGAAATTTATCATTTTAAGCATGTTTATCAAGAATTCAAGTATACGAACTCAACTAAAGTCAAAACTTAATGGTTTAGACATCCCTACCTCAAAAGTAGACAAAATGCATCCCCGGCCGGAAAAGTCAACGCAGTCAATGCCGATCAACGGAAGTCAACGTCGGTCAACGGCGGCGGAACGGAAAATTGTTCGGTGGGAACGTAGCCGACGACGGAGAGATTCTACTGTTCCAAAGGCGCGTTTTTGAAATCCGACTTCAAGTGGCCCAAAACCCCCTCCGAAGTCTTAGAACTAAAAACTTCAAAAATTCATAAAATAATCACCGTTTAAGTACTTTGGCTATGTGATAGAGAACGATGAGAGAAACCTTTTCCGTCAAGGAACCAAGACCAGAAAGTGGAGGACAAATATAAAGGTTAAAAGAAATGAAAAAAAAAAAAAGAAAAGAAAAGAAAAAAGAAAGCAGGAGAGAGAAAGAGAGAGATTATGTGAGAAAGAGTGAGAATGAGCAGTAAAATGGCTTTAGGGCCATTAAAATGAATGGCTTGTGGGCCCCACAACTTTAAAAAAAAAAAAATCTCACCTTTAACTTTTTATAATATATGTGTACATACAAATTAAAATGTAACCACACAAACTAACATTTAATTTATGCACAAAATAACAACGCATGAAATGCAATGGACCCAAAACAGAACCCCCGTGTTCAACAACCCCGGTAGTGGGTCCCACCTGGGACCTCCCGGTCCGAAAAATAGAAAAATGCCGAAATGGCAACCATTGCATTTCCAAGAGTCCTGAACTCAAGGAAGTACCCCAACCAGCTCTCGAACACACCCGGCATACCCCACGGTGTCCGGCATGCAAAATGAGGTAAGACGGAAATACCCTTGAAAAAAAATCAGAAAATTCCAGAAAATGGAAAATGGGAAAAATCGGAAACATTACAGTGGGTGAGTGTGTTTATTTGAAAATAAAAAATAAAAATAAAAATAAAAATAAAATAAAAAAAAACCTAACAGCATAACCCAAAGTAAAAATAAGCCTAAAATTCAACTCTCCAAAAATTATGAAAAGATAGGATAAGAAAACTAATCACTAGAAACCAAAAATCAGAAGAATCCAACTCCGTTTAGACTACAAACAAAAATTCCAAATTATTTAACAACCTTCCAAAAGAAAAAACCGTGATTTTGAGGACCTAAATGCTGGAGTTTGGCCCAAAAACAGCTTATGCCAAGGGCATAACTCATATGTTTTGATCGCTGCACCCTTTTTTGGTTTTTTATTTTTTTAAAATTTTTTTTGGGGCTAAAACAAGCTCGTCAAAACTATCACTGAAAAAAATGTCAGCCAGCACCCTTGACCTTTCCCCGGTCCAAACAGACTCTATAATTAACTATGTGTAGGTTACTTCTTATTCACACCTTAGCTTGTACCCATTAATTATCCAAAGTCTCCACAACTACCCATCTCAGGTTCAACAATCAAGTTAATTAAAACAAGCTGAACTAGTGACAGGAAATAACAGCTAAAAAGAAAGTCATTCTCTTTACTTGATTCCAAGAATGTATGAAGAGGGTTACTTTAGATCGTTACAGTGTGGCCCCATTGCACTTTCAATACACAGCATGTATGTCTTACAAAAGCAAATGGAGTAACTATGGGGTCATTCTCATGAATTGACACAATAAATAAAATAATAATTACCTTGTTAGCCATCAGCGATCAAATTCTTAAGGATCCTTTCAAAGTCCTTCGCTCATGAAATGATTCCATCCACTTTTGTAGTTGGAAAGGAGTCACATGTAGTCATCGACATCAGAGGGTGACCATCCTAAACTTGTCTTCCCTGGAATTAGTTGGTTCCTTGTCTCCTTATATGGGAAATCTTACCTTCCTTAGAGCGATCCATCTCGAGAACAACGGTTTCCGTGGCACAATCCCCCAAGAAATTGGTCGATTGTTTCGGCTACAACATCTTTCGCTTTACAAAAACTCTTTCCAAGGTGAGTTTCCTACCAACTTGACTCATTGCTCCGACATCAGTGTCATCAACATCTCTGAAAACAAACTTGTAGGAAAAATTCCTATTCAGTTAGGGTAATCTCTTGGAATTTCGTCTTTCCAAAAATCTTTTCATTGGCAATCTCCCACCTTCTTTGGGAAATCATTCTGCTCTTCACACACTTGATCTAGGTGCCAACAATCTAGAAGGAAGCATTCCTTTTGAGCTTGGAAAGCTTTCCAACTTGCAGTTTCTTCAGTTGGGTGCCAACAATTTGTCTGGAATGGTTCCTATTCCGCTTTACAATATCTCATCCATCTCTGCCTTTGCTCTAGTTCTCAACCAGTTAAGCAGAAGGCTCCCCCAAGAACTGGGATTGACCCTTCCAAAACTACAATATTTCTTGGTTGGTGGGAACCAATTCTCTAGGCCTATTCCACCATCATTGGTTAATGCTTCAGCACTTGTTAAGTTTGATATAGGGGAGAATTTTTTTAGTGGGTCTGTACCAATGGATTTGCGTAGCCTTCAAGATCTAGATAGGCTAAGTATTTTTAATAACCGACTCGGAACTAAAAAAGCCAATGACTTGAGCTTCCTTGATTCATTAACCAACTGTTAAAATCTAAAAGATCTACTTTTAGGTGGGAATTATTTTGGAGGTGTATTACCCAATTCAATTGCAAATCTATCCACCAATCTCACCTCACTGTGGATAAATGTAAACTACATATCTGGAAGCATACCACAGGGAATAGGGAACCTCGTCAACTTAGATTCCCTAGTATTAGATACGAATATGCTCACTGGAAGCATTCCTGAATCTATTGGGAAAATTTCTAAGTTGGAAGAACTCTTCATTTCCATTAATAACATCACAAGAAAAATCCCATCATCTTGAGTATTCTTGGATTAGGAGCAAATATGCTAGTGGGAAGCATACCTGCATCTTTGGGTAATTGCACAATGCTACAAACATTGGATCTTCAAATTAATCACCTCACTGGTGTGATACCTGAGCAAGTTATTGGACTTTCTTCTCTCACAGTTGAACTCTTGTTAAATCACAATTATTTGACAGGACAACTACCATCACAAGTGGGTAACTTGAAAAATCTTGAACAATTATATATCTCAGAAAACAAACTTTCTAGAGAAATTCCAAGCAGTCTTGGTGATTGTCTAGTTTTAGAAGCCCTGCATATGGAGGGTAACCTTTTCGAAGGCACTATTCCATCATCTTTACAGCAATTAAAAGGAATTCGAGACCTAAATCTTTCTCATAATAGTTTGTCAGGACAAATTCCAAGCTTTCTAGGCGAGTGCCGATTGATTGAAGACCTAGACCTTTCTTATAATAAGTTTGAGGGTGAAGTTCCAAATAAAGGAGTGTTCATGAATGTTACTGCATTTACAATTGTGGGAAATGACAAACTTTGTGGAGGAATCAAGGCATTGGAATTGCATGCATGTCCTGCACAAAGGGCAAGAAAAAAGCTGTTCCCCCAAAAAGTGATAATTCTTGTGACAAGTATCACTCTTTCTACAATTTCGTTCATAGCATGTGTTTCGGCTGTTTTTTATCTGATCAAAAGGTCAAAACTAAAGTCTTCCGTAGATTGTCCGTTGGGAAATGAGTACCCAACACTCTCTTATGCAGAACTTTAACGTGCTACCAACGGATTCTCTTCAGCCAACTTGATTGGTGCAAGGAGTTATGGTTCTGTTTATAAAGGAATTCTCAACTCTGGTGAACAAATTGTCGCTGTGAAGGTATTCAACCTTCAACTACTTGGAGCCGACAAGAGCTTCTTGGTTGAATGTGAAGCTTTGAGGAACATTTGCCACCGGAATCTGCTCAAGATCATTACATCTTGCTCAAGCATGGACTTCAAATGAAATGATTTCAATGCTTTGGTCTTTGAGTTCATGCCAAATGGGACTTTAGAGAGCTGGTTACACCCAACTCTATCTGTTGAGAAGGATCCAAAGGGCTTGGATTTAATACAAAGGCTAAACATTGCAATTGATGTGGCATCTGCATTGGATTATCTTCATAATCATTGTGAAACAACAATCATTCATTGCGATCTAAAGCCAAGTAATATTCTTCTTGACAATGAGCTCTGCGCTCATGTGGGTGATTTTGGTCTATCAAGGTTTCTTGAAGCCACCAGAGGTAAACCCAATCATTCACAATCTAGTTCTTCAATCGGGATCAGAGGAACAATTGGTAATGTCGCACCAGGTAATATATTATCGTATAATTATTCCATAAGTTTATGCAATTACCTTTTGGTACATATTCTCTGATTTAGTTTCTTCAAGGATTTTATTTAGTTTTGGACTAAGGTGTACTTTAACGGTAAGTATATGAAACTTGCTTTAGATTATATTTAAACCACATCTTGTTGATTTCTTGATGACTCCGTTTTGCTTTGTGTAACCAGGTTAAGCATATTGTAACTATGAATAAGCCCTTAATGAAAATAATTTGGAAGTTCGAAAATAATGATTTCTGTAATATGTTATTTGTTTTTTTGTTTTTTTCAGAATATGGTATGGCTGCTCTTCTGACTTGCCAAGAGCACGGATGGATATTACGGATGTTCTAAATGAACTTCACAAGATTAGAAACACATTTCTTCTTATGTATGAAGGAGGAGAAGGAAAGAGAGAGACAGAGATGGAAGAAGTAATTCCTAGTTAGACAATTATAGCTGGTTCATAAGGAAATGTTCAGAATAATGAGGTATATCTGAAAGATATAGTTCCACTGTATGAACTTTTATCATTTTTTTTTTCTTGTAGCTGAAATTGATAAGAAGCTAATGGTTGTAAAAAGGAGATAAATCCGATACTTGACCATCAAGTATTAAATCATATCATTATATACAAAAAAAAAAATTCTATTATTTTTCAAAGAGAAATAGAGTCATTGTCTAAACTTCTACAATTACTTCTTTACGGTAATCCCATTTTTATCTGAGACTCTGTCCTGTGGAATTTTGACAACTTTACTAGTATAAAGTTCCGAGAAAGAATAAAACAATAATAATAAAAGAATGGTTCATGCACACATTGCAGAAACAATTTGGTCAATGATCTTAGATTTGTAGAAATTAAATTTCAAATTCGAATCAACAAATCAAGAAAATTGAATTGTATAATTGAAAAGAAAATGAGAGCGATTAATTACACGGAACCGGTGGTTTTGGCAACGTGACGAGCTTATTCGGTGGAGAGGTGGTTGGGGGAGAGCGTAGGGCACGAAACGGACAGAATCCCGAAGAAGAATGCTGAACGGGACGGCGTCGTGCATGCCAGACACCAGTTCAACTCCGTTGGCTGCGGAGGGAGCGGCGGCGCGCGGGGTGATAAGCCGCCGGAGGAGAGTAAACGCTTTTTGGCACGGAAGGGGGAAGGAACAGAACAGTAGTAGATGATGCCGTTGGACATTTGGGCCTGGTCCTGGGCCTAGGCCTAGTTGACCTAGTTATCCATTATTTGTAATGTATGACTTCGTTGCTTTGTTCTCTATTTATTTATTTATTTGGGTTAATTTCACTGACACCCCCAGGTTTGGCCAAATATCACTCTAAAACAACTTTAAAAAATTATTATCACTTAGGTCCAATTTTACTATTCCGTCACTAACACCGTTAAAAACATGTGAAAAGACAAATCTACCCTTATTTTTAAAATTCATTTTAAGCTAAAATATTAACAAATTTAAAAAGACAAAATTGCCCCCAACAGTTTCTCTCTTTAAAATATATATGTGTATATATATATATACAAATAGGCTCGGTGGCCTTGCACCAGCAACAATGAAGACGCCGATGACGGCGATGACGGCGGCGAAGATGACGGCGACGGCGACGGAGCTACTCCAAAGATGATGAAGACCAGCAACGATTCCGACTAGGTTTTATCTAAAACAATCATTCCCACAAACAAAAACCCAAATCAACGTCGACACTGTCAAAATCGCAGTCGACGGGGCCACCACCACCTCCTACACCGGTGCTGCTACCACTACCATCCCAACCCCGACAGGCAGCCAAAATTTCCCTCTCTCTCAACCACAAACGACCACCGGCCACTACCAAACCTAAGGGTTGTGATATCTGTTTGAAATTATAAAAAATAAAAAATAAAAAAGTCTGAAAGGAGCATACTAAACCTATTCTGAAATACTTCCGGGTAAAGATGAGACTCTAAATTACCGTTCTGAGCATCAGTTTATGAATCACCAGAAAACAATGCCACTCTAAGACTCTGCAATACAAAACAACAGATTGAAACAGAACAAAATCTAATTTCGGAGAAAAAATGTATATACATCTATATAATAAAATCCCCAGCTACATCCTTTCAAAATTAAATTAGTCATTTAAATAAGGGAATTAAAACATTTTTTTCCTATCTAAATTAATTGCCAAATTGGATGTAAATATGGATCTTAAAGAATAAATGTAATCAGAGATCTGAAGTCATAAACACATAGATATAGATAATACAGGCATATATATATATATATCTTCAGCGGCTAGCACGACCGCCATATAAAATGGAGGAACGGTTCCGGCTGGAAATTGCAGACCGGCCTTCACGAACAGCCTCCAGGCAGTCTGCATCTCTCACCTATATAGAGAGAAATTTGTTAATTATTGGTCTCAATTTTTTCTTTTATTGAATTAGTTTATGATTGATTGGTTTGTGTACGAGAGATTAATTACTCAATTGGTTTTTTTTTTTATTTATTTCACAATTGGGTTATCTGATCTCCACAACCTCCACTGCCGGCGTGGGTGAGAGGGTTTGCAGACAATGTGAAGGGAAAAGAGAAATGTGCGTGAGAGATAGTGGGTCGGTTTTTAAAATTACATAAATACCCATAATTTTTATGAGGTGACTGATTTTAGTGGGGGTAGTTTTGTACAATAGTTTTTCCATTTATATATATATATATATATATAAATAATTGTAAATTGAAAAACATTTAGGGATAATTTAGTCTTTTAATCTAGTTTTATAGGTCAAAGAACCATTTTGACAAAGTCAAAGGGTATTTTAGTTAATTTACATGGTGTCAGAACTCTACATGTGACGGTTGGGGTGTGAGTGAAAAACGGAACAAACATTTGCAGTATGGGTGATAGTAATTTTTGAAAGTTGTTTTAGAGTGATATTTGGCCAAACTTGAGGGATGTCAGTGAAATTAACCCTATTTATTTTTAGGATTAATTTCACTGACACCTCCTCAAATTTGACCAAATATCATATTAAAACACCTTTCGAAAATTACTATCACTCACATTATAAAGGTTAAATCTCTTTTTTACTCACACCTCTAAACTTATTTTTCATGGTTTCAAAACACTTTTTGCATATAAAATGAGATTGTTACGCTTTTGACTTTAAGATGACTTAAAAAAAATTGAAATGACTTAAATACCTTTTGACCTTAAAAATTTACAATTATTCTCTCTCTCTCTCTATATATATATATATATTATGTACACACAGATAATCAAGAACTAAATTAATTAGAGATATGAAAGGATTTTTTTTTTTTTTTGGAAGAGCAAAACAAAAAGATTAGTTACCCAGTAAACAAAAAAAATAACAAATATAGTATCCATCAGAAGAAAGGAATTGTAATTCTCTCTTCCATTTCCATTTACCATTTAGAAAGATTTGCATTCATTAACCATGATCAACAGAACAAAAGAAATGAGAATAGAAACAAATAGTAAGAGTACAATTACCAGTACTCTATTTCCCTTCTCTCTCTCTATATGTCCCACTTCTTCTCTGTTCAAATTGAGATGAAGAAAGATGACCCCATCAGTGGAAACATTAAGATGAAAGACCACTGCTATAATTATGGTATTG